AAGTCTGACGGAGGGTGGAGGTTAACAGTAGACTATCGTGGCCTGAATGAAGTGACGCCACCACTGAGTGCGGCTGTACCAGATATGTTAGAGCTCCAATATGAACTGGAGTCAAAGGCAGCCAAGTGGTACGCGACAATCGATATTGCCAATGCATTCTTTTCAATTCCTTTGGCAGAAGAGTGCAGGCCACAGTTTGCTTTCACCTGGAGGGGTGTCCAGTATACCTGGAATCGACTGCCCCAGGGGTGGAAGCACAGCCCCACTATTTGTCATGGACTAATTCAAACTGCACTGGAAAAGGGTGATGCCCCTGAACATCTACAATACATTGATGACATCATTGTGTGGGGCAATGAGGCAGAAGTGTTCAAGAAAGGAAAAAGAGTAATTGAGATTCTTCTGGGAGCTGGGTTTGCCATAAAAAAAAAGCAAGGTCAAGGGACCAGTACAAGAAATTCAGTTCTTGGGAATAAAATAGCATGATGGACGCCGTCATGTGCCATTGGATGTTGTCAACAAGATAGCAACTATGTCTCCACCGACCAACAAGAAGGAAACACACATCTTTCCTAGGACTTGTGGGATTTTGGAGGATGCATATTCCAGGTTACAGTCAGCTTGTGAGCCTCTCTATCAAGTGACCCGAAAGAAGAACAATTTTCAGTGGGGTCCTGAGCAGCAACAAGCCTTTGAGTACATCAAACAAGAGATAGCTCGGGCAGTAGCTCTTGGGCCTGTTCAAGCAGGACCAGCTGTGCAAAATATACTTTACATGTCAACTGGGGAGCACGGACTCACATGGAGCCTCTGGCAGAAGATACCAGATGAAACTCGAGGTCGACCATTAGGATTTTGGAGCCGGGGATATCGAGGATCAGAAGCCCACTACACTCCGACTGAAAAGGAGATACTGGCAGCATATGAGGGGATTCGAGCTGCTTCAGAAGTTGTTGGTACAGAAGCACAGCTCCTCTTGGCACCACGGTTGCCTGTATTACATTGGATGTTCAAAGGAAACATCCCTTCCACACACCATGCAACTAGCGCTACCTGGAGTAAATGGGTAGCGTTAATCACGCAACGGGCTCAACTGGGGAAACCCAACCATCCAGGGATTCTGGAAGAGATCATGGACTGGCCAGAAGGTTGAGATTTTGGAGCGTTGCCTGAGGAGGTGGCTCGTGCTCAAGAGGCACCACCATATAACGAGTTACCAGAAGATGAAAGGCGTTATGCTCTCTTTACTGATGGATCCTGTCATGTGGTAGGAAGCCATCGGAAGTGGAAAGCTGCTGTGCGGAGTACCACAGGACAAGTCGCTGAGGCCACTGAAGGAGAAGGAGAGTTAAGTCAGTTTGCAGAAGTAAAAGCGATCCAACTAGCCCTAAAGATAGCTGAACGGGAGAAGTGGCCAGTACTATATCTCTACACGGACTCCTGGATGGTGGCTAATGCCCTGTGGGGGTGGCTACAGGAGTGGAAGAAAACCAATTGGCAGCGCAGAGGTAAACCCATCTGGGCTGCTGCATTGTGGCAGGACATCGCTGCCCGAGTGGAAAACATGGCTCTAAAGGTGCATCATGTAGATACTCATGTGCCCAAAAGGCGTGCCACTGAAGAACATCAAAACAATGAGCAAACAGACAAAGCTGCCAAAATTGAAGTAGCTCAGCTGGACCTGGACTGGGAGCGTAAGGGTGAGCTGTTTGTAGCTCAATGGGCCCATGAAACATCAGGGCATCTTGGCAGAGATGCAACGTACAGATGGGCTCATGATCTAGGGGTGGACCTGACCATGGAGGCCATCTCACGGGTCACTCATGAATGTGAAACATGTGCTGCAATCAAGCGAGCCACATGAGTAAAGTCTCCCTGGAACAGAGGGCGATGGCTGAGTTTTCAATATGGTGAGGCCTGGCAGATTGACTATATTGGACCACTGCCATGAACATGCCAAGGCAAGCGCTACATACTCACCATGGTAGAAGCAACTACGGGTTGGCTTGAAACGTACCCTGTAAATCATGCCACTGCCTGAAATACCATCTTGGGTCTTGAAAGGCAAATTTTATGGCGGCATGGTACTCCTGAAAGAATCGAATCAGACAACGGGACCCATTTTCAAAATAATCTTATAAACTTCTGGGCAAAAAATGGCATTGAGTGGGTGTATCACATCCCTTATTACCCACAAGCATCTGGAAAGGTTGAAAGATATAATGGACTACTGAAGACTATGTTGAGAGCATTGGACAATGGGGGATGGAAGCACTGGGATATAAATTTAGCAGAAGCCACTTGGCTAATTAATACCAGAGGATCTGTTAACCATCCTGGTCCTGCCGAAACAATCCCCCTTCATACTGTGGGAGGAGATAAAGTCCCCATAGTACACACAGGGAGATGGCTGGGGAAGGCAGTGTGGATTGCTCCTCCCTTGGGAAAAGGCAAGCCCACTCATGGGATTGTCTTTGCTCAGGGACCTGGATGTACTTGGTGGGTAACGCGGGAGGATGGGACTACTCAGTGTGTGCCTCAAGGACATTGAACCTTGGGGGAAAAGTAATCTGTGGGATGAGTTGTATGTTGCAGGAAGTGATGGAGGAAGTAGAAATGACGAAGAGTGAACCAGATATGTGCAATGACGACCCAAACCTAGCCGGTGCTGGAGTCCAACAGTCAAGCATACTTCTGTCCTGAACATCTATCTTGACAGATGGAAGCCAAGTCACTGAACATCTGACGGAGTGAAAAAAGCTTATGGAATGGATAAATTAATATTATGTGGGACCTGGGCATAACGTAAATGGTATGGAATAAGGGGTGGAGACTGTACTGGGTCTGGCTGAACTGGAATTGGTTTTCCCCTATAGCAGCCCTCACAGTGCTGTGTTTTATGTTGGGAGCTGGCAGGGTGTTGATAGCACCCTGGTGTTGTGGCTACTGCTGAGCAGTGCTTACACAGCACCAAGGCTCTTTCTGATATTTCCGCCAGTGGGATGGGGTGGGCAAGATCTTGGGAGGGGACACAGCCAGGACAGCTGACCCAAACCGACAAAAGGGATATTCCATACCATACAACATCTGCTCAGTATAAAGCTGGGAGAAAGGAGGAAGGGGATCGGGTCACCCTTGGTCCTCTGAGGCAACCACTACACGTATTGGAGCCCTGCTGCCTGAGAAGGCCCGACATCGCCTGTCCATGGGAAGTAGAGAATAAATCTGTTTGATTTTGCTTCCGCACGCAGACTTTTGCTTCGCTTTGCTTATATTAAAACTGCTTTTGTTTCACCCACAAGGGTTAGTTTATCTTCTTTCCCCTCTTTACCCTATTGAGAAAACAAATCCAAGAATGTAAACAAGAAATGCAGGCATTTCAAAAACAGCAGGAGAGCAAAAAGGGGCGGCTCCGGCCGGACCCCCTGCTCGGTTGGCTTCCGGGGGCACCCCCTCCTCTGGAGGAAGTGAA